TTGCCATATTGTTCAAATGATGTAACAAACACAATCTAAACTCAATCAAAGCCCTCTGATTGTACTGTCCCATTTAGAGCCTTTTCAAACTGCCCAAATAAGGAAAAGGAATTCTTCAAAAAGAGGTCAACTGAAGCTAGAATCTGTAGAATTATGTCAACAAGAAGAGGAAGAGAAGATTTTGGAATTCGAAAGGCTATAGCCCCCGCCCCTGCCTCCTCTCCCCATCAGGAAGGAGTAACAGGTCAGTGTTCCGGTTGTGCACGCACACACAAAAAGCCTTCATTTGGTTCAGCTGCTAATCACTCTTTTTAATGAAATCTGCAGAATTCAAGTTAAAACTGTCAGGAATCCAGTGTCTGTGATTGTTGCTAACGCGACAACAGGCTAAAAAGTTAGATGGAGCACAAAGCAGAACGCTATACTAATCGCTTAGCTCCACTCGTTTCTCTCCCTCCTCTTCCACAGTTACCTAGAAGTTTACAGATGTTGATTGTTTCATTAAAAGGCCCACACTGTCTGATGAGACGCCCGTCTCCAACTCAGTCTTCTCTAAAACCATCTTACCCTCTTCAGTATTAATACAGAGCAGGTGGAGTAAGTAATAAGGTACACTCTAAGCTGACTGTGTGTCAGTGTGTCACCCCGCAGTGCATGCTGGAAAATGGTGCCCATTCCCGTTGGTTGGTAGCCCTCTTGTGGATACACAACTCTACTGGCCAACTGTCTAGGCTTGCATAAATGATTTGTTTTGCTATAGAGGCCAGGGGGTGACTAAAGCCTTATTTATACTTCTCTGCCAGCTCCACAATGGGGAGATGAACACACATTAACAGATGTTTTGCTCTTGGTCTTCTCAGTTGGTGATTGTTGCAAAACAATCCAAGTCGTAAAGACAACATAGGGCGTAGCACTATTCTGAGGTATTCTGCTACCATTAGAGTCATGTGTCTGGTCCCCGATGGTGAATCTACTATTGTGTCTACATAGTTTTTATGTATTTCAGAGACTTTTAAACATGAACAAATTTGTCCCACCTCCACCTCTTCATGCAATCGGCACCTCTAAACCCACGTTTCTCATCTTTTTAGTCCACAAATAAAACGCTTGCTGCATATCTTTGTACAACTTCAGTCACAGGTGAATAAATGCTCATATTTTCATACTTTTTTCCCAATTGTCACGTTTCGGGGATGTTTAGGACCCAAATATGCAGATACCCAAGAGGACACGAGGCAGGATGTGATATAAGAAAAAAATCCTTTATTGGAGGAGCCAAAAAATAAAACAAATCCAAAAGGCTGGGAGCCAATAAATCCAAAGGCAGTCCAAAAACTAGAGACCAAAAACACAGGAGGCTAGAGAAGGCTGAGATCAAAAACACTGGAGACAAGACTGACAGAATACAAACAATGGACCGACAAGACACTGAGACAAGACAGGGCGGATGAGAGGGAGATGAGCTGCAGGTGTGTGGGGTGTGGGAGGAGGACCAGGTGAAGGCAATGACTAATCAGGGGAGAAACTAACTTGACCTAAGAATAAAACCTAATACAAAAGAGCAGGAAACATAACTACAAGTCAGAGGGAGAGGGGAGAAAAATAATAAACACTGATGGGAAAAAACATACTAAATCATGAAAGGCTGTAACTAAAGGAAATGACTTGAGAAACCTAGAGGGCTGGAGATCTAGGGGCAAATGGGGAAAACCAGAAGACACATGAGGAAGATGCAGACATGACACATGAGGGCGCTAGGTCACAAAAGGAGCACCTAGAGAACGAATGGAGGACACAAGGAGACACATGAGGGGAGATGCAGACACAGACCATGACACCAATGCATTCTTCAATCTGTTCCGTGTCGGCAGCTAAATATCTCGTTTTTTTTTTGAGGGGGAAAAGGCAGCGCTGTTGACGAATTTACAGGAAGCATCGTCCTGACCAATCACAACTTTGCGGTCTCCGTCTATTTCGATGGATAGTTCAAAACTGGGGCATGTCTCCATCACCTTCTGTGAAACCGTCGGAGAGCTTTTGCGTCCACGTATAATAGTGTTGCTTGTCTGGACCGATGCAGATGAAGACATTTAAATTAGGCTTTAGCGGAAATATAAACTATGGATATTTACTTACTTTATATCATAGAACAGGATCAGATAGTCAAATTTAAGCATAAGTTACTTTAAAGGCATGGAACAATAAAATCCGTTAGGTTATGCATATAACAACTGTTCCCTTAAGGAGAGGAACGAGGTACAACAAAGGCGCTATGGGACATCACGCCCTCATGTGACCTGGCTGAAGACACATCTAATCATGCCTGTAAAGTTAAATGAGTGTAATGTTTTGTGATGGTCCTGCCTCCCACCCAGAATTACCACCATTTCTCAGTTCGAAAGCCACTCTTCACTGAGCTAGGCTGCGAAGGGGGAAGCCCTGCATTGTACCTCATTCCTGTCCTTCAGGATAACAGTGGTCAAATGCATAACCTAACATTCTCTTTCAGTTGATTCACTCGGTACAACGAAGCTACTATGAAGGTACATATAAAAATGCCCCATGAGCAGCTGTCCCGACAATGCAATCTAACCCCTTCTTTCCACCGGAGCCGTCAGCAGCACGTTACTGCAGCAGCACGTCATAGCTGCTGATAGGAACTGCTGTGGTCAACAGAACCTTTTCCACCGGAGCCGTGGGCCGCGTCTCAGGAGCAGCATGTCTCGGCCCTTACGCGCCGGTTCTATTTTCTACCCGCAACGCCTCTGAAACGGGTCAAGTTTGACATTTTTGGGGAAGGAAAGACAGGAAATCGGACGCGGAAACGGAGCGAAGCTCCTGAAAATTTCAGAATAGAGAAACATACTGCCTTCCGGTTGCTTTACTTTAAAAAAAAGTTACTAACTGTGCGGCCCAGTGAGAAGTTATCACCTACAGTAGCTAGCGGTTTCCTTTGTTTTTCAGGTCCGTATTGGCGATTATAAAACAGACAGAACATAAAACACAAACCTTTTGGAGCCATGTTGTAATTTTCTCCTGCTTGTTGTTGTGTTTACTGACGAAGTCACTCGTGTGACTTCGTGCTCGGTCGGTGACAGCTGCTCCCCTGCTGCTTCACGTCTCGTGGGAAGGGCCAAGCAGCAGCTCACGCGAGCAAGACGTGCTGCTGCAGTAACGTGCTGCTGACGGCTCCGGTGGAAAGAAGGGGTAAGATGGTAACTCAGAACCAGCAGAAAGAACCTCATGAGCCACCAAAGGGGCCATAAAATCCAGATGGTAAAACCTCATGAAACTGGGGTGCAACCCAGCTGGGCAACCGAGCAAACGTCACCAACTGAAATGCCCTAAAACAGCGCCCCTGAAGTGGCCATGCGTCTCTGACCCCTCGAGGCAGCTGAGAGCCATTAATGCTGTAACACAGGGAAATGGCATTCACAGTCCAAACAGTTTGCTTTATAGTTGGAAAATCTGAGTGTGGTCCACATGAGCCTGTAGAGCACAAACAGGGCAGACATTACAGCCTGCTCTGCTCCTCAGACGCAAAAGGAGGATGATTGAAAGCCAAAAGCTCTATGGTCTTAGAACCGTAGGTCAGCGGGATGACTTTGGGCATATATGCAACATTCGGACACAGAGTGACCCTAAACTCGTCTGTTGAAAACTGCAGACAAGAAGAGCAAAACAACAAAAAAACATAGATACCCTACCTCAGGGATTCCCTAAGTGTGGAGCTGCCGCTAGGGGGTGCGCGAGGTGAAAAGTGTAATGGCTGCATAGCTCAGAGAAGTCTGTCATATGTCACCATTACCATAGCCAGAAACTCATTCGTGGGTGGGCTTAAGAAAAAGTAAGTGGGCCCAATAAATGCAATTGAAAACAAGTATATTTTGCTTGTGTGTGTGTGTGTGTGTGTGTGTGTGTGTGTGTGTGTATGTGTGTGTGTATGTGTGTGTGTGTGTGTGTGTGTGTGTGTGTGTGTGTGTGTGTGTGTGTGTGTGTGTGTGTGTGTGTGTGTGTCCTACGCATGTGCCCTAGCTTCATAATAATGATGCGCTCCGAGCTTCAGCGCTCTGGCCTGTGCACGCTGTCAATAGCAAGATGAGTTCAGTATTTGATCATTTTTATCAATGTTGGAGGAATCTGAAGGTGGTGAGTCATTCTGGCAGATTGTAATAAACACCTGTCTCATGCAGATGTTCTGACATTGTAAACCTCACACACAGAACATTTTGGATGTAACAAAATAAATCAAGAAATGATTCCCATCTGAGCATTTTAACATTATTATATTATTATATTAGCACACTGACTGTGGGACAGCATTCTAAAGGTGTCAGGCTATTGACAGCGCGCTGAAGATCTGGAGTTCAGAGTGCGCCTGTCAGAGGTCAGACGCGTTCCTGCGGAACCACGGCTCACGGGTGCACATGTGAGAACATCTGGGCTGGGCGGAAGTAATTTTACAACATTGGTTTAAATAGCGCCAATAACGAGACGCGGTGACTGGAGCGGCTCATGGAGCTGTGCCGCACACACACACACACACACTGATTCAACAAGCGCACGCTGCGCTGTGCCGTCAGACTGAAGGCAGAAATGAGCGCTGCCGCTTCCGTGATGAAAAACTTTTAAGAGGTTTTACAACAACATTTTTCATTCAAGGTCATATTAGCTTCCATTTTGGGATGACGTATTAAAATCGAGTCCGCTCCAGCCAGTGAGTCCTTGTGAACCTGACCACAACTCCCGTTACTGCAGCATTTGTTATTCCAGTCCTCGTGGCAGCAGATCGCAGAGTCAGCCACACCATAAAACAGCAATACAGGGAGTGCAGAATTATTAGGCAAATTGTATTTTTGAAGTATAATTTTATTATTGAACAACAACTATGTTCGCAATGAACCCAAAAACTCATTAATATCAAAGCTGAATGTTTTTGGAAGTAGTTTTTAGTTTGTTTTCAGTTTTAGCTAT